TAAGATTCTGTCCCTGAGAATGATCGAAAACTTCATCAGTGCAGTATCAGATAAGTGGGAAAAAATTGAAATACACAAAAATAATAATACCCTTGATTAGATATATGACAATATAAGAAATAAAAATGAGTGCTCAAATGGAAACCGACCTTCCCAAAGAGTTCTGGAAGTCTGCTTGGTTCAACAAAAGTATGAGGAAGAAGCTTAAATATCTCTTGTGCACCAAGAGAAACTGCAAAGGAAAGGGGGAACGGAGAGAGAGAAAATTTCATATGCAATGTGAGGGAATTTCATGAGATTTATCCAGAAAAAGAACATTAACTAAAAGTTAAAAGAATCATAGGCATTAGGAATTTAAACTGATTGATTGAACAAATGATGAAACAAGTTTATACACGAAGTATCTAATAACATCAGATGAATGCAAACTCTCAAGCACCGTAACAGACATGTATTCTGATTAATGGTCACATAACTGAATGTTGTGTTGACATGTTATGAATGGCTAACAAAAGGAGCATATTGAGAAATTCCAATACCATTTCCAGAACCAGTGAATACAAAGACTAGAGGACATATTCCTGATGGTAGCCCCTGAGATGCTATCTCTTCACCCACAGTGATCACTGCAGCCTTTGCAGCAGCCAAGGAAGGATACATATAAGATGCACCCAGAGAGAGGAAAGGGGTTGAATATCCAAGACTTAGATACCCTGAAATTTGTTGAAGGAAAGTGTAAGATTACAATCAACTTGTCAGCATCTTCATATAGACAAAGGGATGCCACGTGATCCAAATAAGAGAAAAAATGTTGTTGATTCACTATAAGAAAGATCAACAATCCTCTTCCTTACGTCAAGACGGAAAACCTCAAACAGTATGGCTAATTACTTTACTTTTGAGCGATTAGGCTAGAAAAGATTGTCAGAATATTATTACACTGATTAAGATAATATTAACACACACAAAAAGAAAGAATTGTCATGTGTATCATGCACCTACTTCAGGCCCAGTCTGAAAAAACAACGCAGATTATAACATCTCCATCAGTTTAAAATGAGCAGAGATATTCCCACAAAGCAACATTAGAAAAGGATTAAGAGTGATGAACCATACGCTGTCCCAATCCACATAAGAAATCAATCATTCCTGCTCTGCCAGCATATTTGCCAAATGCAAGCAACCTTTTACCATGGTCCCCAACAATAAGCTCGTAGTCATACAATGACACCCTCTCCGCCAGTATCTACATGCCAAAGATAAAGTCAGCAGAGTCAAATTCAAGATCATTAGAAATATTGGCTGCTCTCATTAAGATAGAAAAGAAAGTTACCTTATCCAACAAAGGCATGTTTTCTTTCTGAGCTTTGTGAGTATGTGAGAAGAAGGCATAAGCTCTATCAGGAAGAATCATGTCTAGCTGCAGCAAAGCCAAACAGTTATTTTGGAGTTCCCAAGCCCATGGCTATATGAAAATTGAAAAAGTCAACAATAGGAAATCTTAGGACCTTTGGCTGCTTGACACCCAATATAAGACCACATTCTGACAAGTCATCTGATATCTCACAGCCAACATCCTCATAGAGTGAATCATGATGGATGCGCTTCGTAGATGGCTGTACGATTATACGGGCTATTCCAGTTTTTTCCCTCCCACTGTGCAGAAGTCGAGCGCAGTGTGATGGGGTTACAGGAACCCTTCTTTCCCATTTGTTTACAGACTCAGAAAGGATCCCAACAACTCCATTTCCAAGCATCTTGTACCTTCACCAAGAAAAACCAACAATTAGCACTATCACTTGAGTAATATGTGATAACTTACCGGCTTCCTCAAAATGCGATGGAAAACAAATTAAAAGTCACTTCTTTACTTGTATTTGTTAATCCATTGTTGAAAAGCTTTTTACTTCAAGGTTTGCTTCTTTGTACAATTACAAATCCCACAACAAATACTAATCAAAGTTTGAAACTGATTCCCACAAGCCATCATGCACAAAATACAAAATTGCTCAAAAACAATTGTACTTCCTATTCTGTGAGGTACTTAAAAGAGAAATTTAAATAAAAGTTTTCGTAAGCTTTGTATCTGGCTTGTCTCTCATTGAAGAACACAATTGAAAGTATGATTTTGACGTTAAAAAACTCAACTCGAGAAAATATACAAACACGAAACGAAAAAATAACATGAAAATTCATGTAACCAGAATCACTAGGGTGGGCTAGCAGGGATACAGAGTAAAAAAACAGAGAATGAAGAAAATAAAACTTACTTCTACCAAAAGAATCAAAAGATTATATGAACCCAAATCGAGGACTTGATCAAATAATTCTGAAAATAAAAAGATCTATCAATCAAGAGTAGAGATTGAAAACCCTATAAACAAACAGTAATGCATATCACTATTAGAAATATAGAAAGATCCAAACTCCTAGTCCGAATAGAACACACAATTCATATTGACTACATTACGTTCAAAAAAGAAAATCTGCAGTAGTAAAATAACATGGGACACCCTGGAATCCTGGAAGAACTGCCCTGTAAAAACAGAGGAAAATCCTGATCCAGAGCAAACAATGCAGAACAGGGATGCAAAGTAGGAAGTCTAAATAAAAACGTTGGCCTTCGGCCTTGGCCCTTTTTTATATTTATTCTATTTTTAGTCTTTTTTTTATTAATCGATGATATGTTAAACCATGTATCTCGAATTTAACTCGTGAATGAACGGATGAATTATCACTTCTTCTTTGTCTTTTTGGTGGTGAAATTAATGATGAGAATATGGCAGGCGAGCATGGGTTCCACCATCAATTTCTTACATATCCAAAACATGCAATCATGTGGGGCCACGTATATTGTTTTATGAAAAGCTTACTTTTTGCCACCTGGGACAAGTTACCCTGATCCATTCGGTCACGTCTCCGCAGCCTCAAGACAAAATTCACAAAAACGGTCACGTTTTTCTTTCAACTGAATGAAGGAAAATAGATTTTCTAATATTTTTCTTTTTCCTTTTTCTTTTTGGCGTTAAATGGAAAGTAAAGGGCCAAGTTTGATTGGATTTGTGTGAGCTTTTGGTGTAATTTTGGTGGTGGGGGAGTTTCGTATCTGTTTGATATTTTCAAAACGTGATGTTCATTTTTTAAAATTATCAGCATGTCTAAATGAGACATCATATGTGATCATGAAAACTTTTTACATGTTTGATTCACTTTGAAGGGATGGCCAAGGAATGGCCAATGCTCTTTTTTTTTTTTTTCTCATCTACTTATTATTATTTTTTGGAATTATAATGTTCAGTTTATGGTATGGATAAAATTCATGATTCATAGTAATAAATTAGTTTAGTCTACAAATATTTTATCTACAAATTAATAGTTTATTTATAATATAATATGATAATTATGTATATTATCTATTATATATAGTAAGATAATATATATTTGGGTTCTAGAAGATAAATAGGATAATATATTATACTTGATGATTGTTTATTTTGTATTATACAAAATATTAAATATATAAAATTTTGGGTGGGCTTGGATTTATAATATCAGGCTTACCTAGGCCAGACTTATATCTTATCAGAGTCCTGCCAGGCACCACCAGCTGAGTGGCCCAGTGAACGAATAAAAAGGAAAAAAACAAAAGGAAAAAAAAAAGTCATCGATGTTAAGAACTGAGAACATGAAAACCCTTTGCCTGCTCAAGTGTTCATTATATATATGGATTTCGACCTGACTAGTTGTTAATGTCGGTTTCTTATCAAATTTGTGTAATTTCACAGTTTATTTTTAATGGAGAATTGGCAATGGATCACGTCAAGTATTTGAATCGCAATCATTTTTGTGCGTCATTGTAGGGATGACTAGTGGCCAAAGAAGAAGATAAAGAATAAATAAATGAAAAGAAATTGATTTGTTTAATCTATAAACAAAATTAGTGTTACATCATCATGTTTATAATTAAATCATAACATATCAACGTCACTAAACTATTTAACTGTAATAACACAAGAGGTGGGCCTTAAGATCAATGGCCCAGAAAGGAGACATTCAGGTCCAATTAAAGGGCTGACATTCTTTCACGTTGGCAAAAAGGACAACAAAAAGTATGAAATGTCTATTGTGAAATTATATTCTTTCATAATATATATATACATATCATGAATGAAAAAATTATGAAACTTTGATTTAAAAGGATTGGTCTTTTATTCATAATGTACATTTTTATTAACCTACAATAAAAAAATATAAAACTAACAAGAAAGTTAATATGCAAATGAGAAAAATTAAATTTAATTAAATAAAAAAATTTCCAATGTAAATAATATTATCTTATATATATTTTAAAATTCGTGCTTATAAACAATGCTATGATCCCATTTTCAATATGGATTGTATGGATAAATTCTTAGGTAGTATTGGTTTTAATATATCTGATTCGTAAACAAATAAATTTTAAAATCATTTTAAAGTCAATTCAAAATTATCAATTTAAAATGATTTATGGATAATTCTAGACCATTGTTCACCCTTAATTCATGTTAGATATTACAAGATCCAATTTAAATTTAAGAAACATGTAACTTAAAAATTTATGGTTTTTATTTACAAAATGGTGAAAGCCTTCCTTGAGTAACAATTTATGTCTATTTTATGTTCATACGATTATTTCTTTTTCCTTTTCTTTTTTTCAAGATTTCTTTATTCTTTTTGAACAAATAACATTAATTAAACATCCAAAAAATTCTCTGGGCAAATCCACTAATCGAAAAAAAAAATCCATCAAATACCAAGGGTTGAGCTTTAGCATGTCAGTTAATGGACCCTACAATAGGCAATTGGCATTCGTACTGATGGGTAATTTACGGCCTGCAGCAGGCCCTGCCTGACTCGCTAACCTGGCCTGGCTACCACTGTCCTATCCATTTGCATGAATGGGATACACGCTCTAAATTAATCAAAATACGGTCACTTGTTTCTTGCTTTTCAAACTTCAATTGCACAAATTAAATTTAGAGATTTCGCACTACACACATTGACATTTAATGAGTATCAGAACACTGGGCCTGGTGCTGGAACGTCAAACAGGGCAATTCAATTATTCATATGCATTCAATCTAGGAAAAATTATCAGAATTAGTACTATCAATTACTAATTGGAGATCACATCAAAGAACTATTTTTCTACTATCTTGAAATAAAGAGAGTAATTTATTAACGAACTAAACATGAATTGGCGAACGAGATGCTAGAAGTTGACACATCCAACGAGAACCCATGGAAAAGGAGACCAAAAGCCTGCTCTCAGTTAGACTCTCTCATACGAGGAATATATTCATATAAGGAGGTGAGGGCTCCTCCATGGGCTATACAAGCTTTCTTGAGCGTATCAGGCAACTTGGATATGTCTGCTGTTGAAGCTAGGCTGTCAATGAACTGTAACAGGAGTTCTCCAAAATGTTCGGAAGCCTTGCCACAATCAAAGTGGGATGTTAAAATGCAACCACAAGCATAATCAGTCAGATATTTTTTAGACTCTGACATAGATTAGAAACAGAAGTTCACTAGTAAGATAAAGTTCACTAGTAAGATAAAAATGCTAAGGATGAGAATATTGGACCTCTTTTGCAAACTCTGTTGGAAGATTGTCTACTACTGAACATATCACGCCATTTTCCTCCATGTCATTGTGGTATGAATGGGAATTGGCATCATATCTGAAAATTGTAAATTATTAACACCGATAAGAGATCACTACGAAGCAACTTATGAAGATAATACCTAAAGAAAGGTGAATCAATTGATGTGGTTTGGTTAACAATCTCAATTGAGCCTCCCATATCACAAGTTAAATCTGAGATTGCAACAAGGGGGCATCCTTTCCTCACAATATCTTGAAGTTGCTGGGTGCTCAACAACCTGGGAAATCTTTTCTCCCAATAAATGCAATTAACTGCCAGAGAGTTCATAAAATTACATATTCATTAATCAAAAGCTCCACACTATTATATGCATAAAAAATGAAGGATATGAAAGCTTTGGCTATGACATTGCAAGAAATAAAATAAGCTTTTGCCATTTAAGCATCCACGTGATTAGAAAGTTAAAAAATTAAATTGATGTTTGATTGAAGTACAATGGGCAGAGATGGAAATTGGATGATCAAACTAAAAGCTTAGTGATAAAAATTTAAAAGGTGCTACATACCAAGAACTGATACATATGGTGCAATTCTTTCATGAAAAACAGGCTTGTAGCATTCTGGATGTGCATAATAGTCAGCCTGAAAGTAGGAGAAAAAAAGAGAAGGAAACCAAATGAAATAGAAAGCAAAAAACTATAAATTCCACTAAGTGGTTGAATTATATTCATCAAACTTGGAAAATTAGGAGAACAGAGCAGTTGAACATGGATTTAAAATGATCCATTTCCTTTATAAAATGAAAATTTTAAGTATATTGTAGTATAAGAACTTTCAAAGGGCATGTCATGAAACATATGGATATATCATTGGACTTCTTTTTTGGTATTTGATGTTATCAAAGATTGAACTTTAATCATCGGAACTAAAAATTCAATATTCTATTAACAAACACATGGTTGTAGGCATATCATTGGATGTTTGGCTAACAAAAGAGAACACCAAAACCAACAAAACCAGAATACAAAATCAGGGTTACCTTATCAAATACTTTAGGACTGTCTTTGTGCTCAACCATGTCTTGACAATTCACCACACAACCATATACTTCGAAGACTCTATCTGATGCCTGACCAGGTTGAGTTCGATCCTTGGCCTAACCATAAGGAATATAACTTAAAGGATGCCGTTGGGTATAATATATTCAAATAAGAAAATTAGAGAAAACTAGCAAGTACCAATCTATGAGAAGAATGAATCAATTAGCACTTAGAAACATCAAAAAGTCAATCTCCAAATTGAAAAGTTGTCTCCATATTCACAGCTATTGTAAATTCTAGAAGAGATATATATTAGAAATCATATCTATATATAATTGATCTTACGAAATATGAAAGACTAAGTGATTTAATCTGATCACTTGATCAGAGTAACTAAACCCCATAACCAAGAAAAATCTTAATAGAAAATCATGTTCAAACTAAGGCATACTTTTTCAAATAGGCGTGGAAGTTTGCTTGGATCAACAAAAGTGTGAGGAAGAAGCTTAAATATCTCCTGTGCCCCAAGAGATCCTGCAGGGAAAAAGTAAAAGCAATATGATCTGTAGTAGATAAAAGGGGAAAAAGGCAAAATCAATATTTTATTTTGTACAAATAATCAGATTATAAACGAAAGTAAGACACACACTAAACAAAATTTTATGTTGTACAAATTAAATTCCGTTGAAAAGTATTTTGAATAATAAAATTAATACATAAATTTCTTATTAAATGAACATATAACAATAATACTAATTTCAAATTCATTATATGTGCTACATTTTATTAACTAATTGTTTTTTTTCAATCAATTATAATACTCTTTGCATTTTATTATTTTGTTCTTATTGTTTAGCAAACTTTGAAAAGCAAAATACAATACAAATAGAAAAAGTAACAATTAAAGGATAAAATCAAGTATTGGAGAAAAATAATATCCCATATCGGTTAAATTAAATTATTGAAATATCTTGGGTATATAAATATAATAAAATTATTTATTTATAATCCATTGATTTTAAGTTGATCTTATCTTAAAATTTAAGAAATGGAAAAGATTAAAAACAAAATAGCTTTCAAAAGTGAGGAAGAAATTATCAGAAAAACCAAAAATTATCTCTAACTAATACTCAGAACTTGAGAATACAATGGAATTTGAATTTTCAAGATAGTTTTAATGTTTCTTATCCTGAATAATTATGATGATTTTTAAGATGATCAAGTATATATATTAGCCACAATTCAAGCTCTACAAATTTCTATGTTATGTAACAAGTTATTAATACATAACAGTGAAATGCAACGTTTAGAAATTAGAATACCTTTTCCAGAACCAGTAAAAACAAAGACGAGAGGACAGATTCCTGACGGCAGCCCATGTTTTGCAATCTCTTCTCCCACATAAATTACAGCTGCCTTGGCAGCAGCCAATGAAGGATACATGTAAGATGCACCCAATGACAGGAAGGGCGTTGAGTACCCAAGATTTAAATACCCTATAAATTGTTAAGAACCTTGAAATCAGGTTTGGCAGTTTTATTATTATTTTTTTTATAGCAATCAACTGGAAAATGAACAACATATATGTGCAAGCAATGCTTCAGGTAAAAGCCCCTTTGAAATTGGACAGGAACAAACAGGATCAGGGAAGGGGAAAATAAATTGTGAGTAGAAATAAGCTTAATTACGCTGTCCTAATCCTCTTAATAAGTCGATTAAAGCTACTCTTCCAGCGAATTTTCCAAAAGCAATTAGTCTCTTCCCATTGTCCCCATCGACAAGCTCATAGTCAAATAATGTCACCCTTTCAGCCAGGATCTATAACCACAGAGAGAGGGCAATAGAAGTAAGACTTTACATATAAACACACACACACACACACATATATATATATAGAACTACTAATTAATTGATATTCCCGCTGGCATGTTCATGAATTATAAGTGAAGTACCTTGTCCAACAAGGGCATGTTTTCCTTCTGTGCCTTGTGATTGTGTGAGAAGAAGGCATAAGCTCTATCAGGAAGAATCATCTCCAACTGCACCAGCAGTGAACAAATCTATGATCTGCTTAACTTCCCATGTTCAAACAATAAAAAAAGGAAAACACAAGTACCTAGGTATAGTTTTTAAACCAAATTTAAATATGTTACGAGTTTTGGAGTTAGAATCTTGAAACATTTTCGTTTTTTTTAATACGTTAGAATTCAAATGTGACAGTAAAATATAGAGAAAGTAATAGAGGGACAAGAACTTAGCATTACCCTAGGCTTTTTGATGCCCAGTATAAGGCCGCATTCAGATAAGTCGTCTGATATTTCACAGCCAACGTCTTTATACAGTTTATCATGGTAGATCCGTTTAGTGGATGGCTGCACGATTATGCGAGTCACTCCAGTGTTATCCCTGCAGCAACGGTTCAGAAGTCGAGCACAGTGTGACGGGGTCAAAGGAGCCCTTCTTTCCCACTTATTTGAAGTCTCAGCCAGTATCCCGACCACTCCATTTCCAAGCATGCTGCCCTTCATCCTGAAACTAACAACCTTCTTTTATCATTCTATTGTAAACGGTTTTCTTTGTTAAATGTCGCCCTTTAAAAGAGGTATATAAAGTGTTCAGATGCAATAGTATCTCTCAATCAGTGTGACTTCTGACGTAGCAATTAATTAAAGAAAGTGACAACAATAACGTGAAAAAATTTTTTTTTCAAAAATGATACAAACAACGTAATCAAAACTATAAGGTTATGACATTTTTCAAATTATTTTATCCTTTGACTTATAGTACAGCTGTGGTGGTGTCATCGTCGACTGCGAGACGCTAACAGCACAACACACCGGCACGTTAACCGTCGTAAATTAATAACTTACCAAGTCGGGCCTAGGATGGATATGTGGGCCATGGATAATCTTCTTTTTTATTTGGAAATATGGGCCATGGATAATTTTTTTATTCAAAAGTGACACAAACAACAAAATCAAAGCTATAAGGTTATGATATTTTCAAATTATTTTGTCATCTGAGTTATCCATTGCTGCTGTGGTGGGGTCATTGTCGACTGCGACACGCTAACAGCACAACACACCGGCCACGTTAAGTCCCAAACTAATGACTTACCAAGTCGGGCCTAGGATGGATATATGGGCCATTGATAATCTTCTTTTTTTATTTGGAAATATGGGCCATATATAATCTTGAAATCCAAGGAATGACTTCATACAAAAGTTCTGCTCATTCCAGTCTGGCCTATGGCTATCAATGTCTGTGTCCGGAGAGGACTTGATTAGGACGGCAGGGTCCATGTCCATCAGGTCGTCCAACACCATGTGCATGAACTACGTACTTGGGCCCTAATGGTGTATGTGCAAAATGTAACATGCCATTTAACTTTCTTGCCTCTTAATTCTTCTTAATTATTGGACAGCCTCTGCTCACCTAACACAACCAAATCAAATAAATACAGAAAAAAAAGTAAAGTGAGAAGGTTTTAATCATTCAAAAATTAATTCATTCGGAGAATGCTTGGTATGAAGTGATTTATTTAAAAATTATAGTGATTTTGTATTCAGTAATTACATCACATTATTTGATAGTAATTTAAAAATCTTACATGGTGATTTTAAATCATTGAGATGATAAAATCATTATCTTGAAAAATGAGTTAATTTTGAATGATTTGATTTTTAGCCTAAACGATGAAAAAAAATTATCACTATGAGAAAATAATTTTTAATATTATTTTTTAACTAATTTATCATCGTAAAAAATTTCGTTAATATTATTTTAATGGAGTGTTTGGTTCGAGAAAATTTATATATATTTTTTAATCTTACTATTTGAGTATTTTATTTTAATATTTGATTCAAGATAATTTGATTATGAGAAAAACTAATAGATTTTTAACAGTACCTAAAGTCATGAAATAAAAAACTCATATTTTTTGTGATATTTTAGAATTCCCGAGGATGGAGAAGCAACATTATTTTTAAATTTGATCGATACAAAAATTTGTAAAATAGTTGTTACTTTTTTTATTTTTTTAAAGAGATTATTTAAGGTATTTTTTAGACAAAAAAACAACTTAAATAATACCCTTCAATTTTGAAGGGTATTATTTAAGATTTTTTTATTTAAAAATATATTAAATAATCCATTTTAAAATGTATCAACGGATTTTTTAAGGTATTTTTAGTCTAAAAACATCTTAAATAATACCCTTCAATTTTGAAATGACTATATTTAAGGTGTTTTTAGATAAAAAATACATTAAATAATATATTTCATTATTTATAAGATTTAAGAGATAAATTATAAAAATACTGAAGTTGTTCAGTCGGTTAAAGCATATAACTATTAGCCATAAGATTATAAAAAAGCCTTAAATAATCCATTATTTAATCATCAAAATGCTAAAGGGATAGATTAAACCTATGACCTTATAGTTAATAGTGATATGCTCTAACTGATTAAACTACTTCAATTTTTTTATATTTTAGCTCTTAAATTCTATAAGTAATGAAAGTGATTATTTAAAGTTTTTTTTATTCAAAATACCTTAAAATAAAACCCTTTCAAAATTAAAAGGTATTATTTAAGGTATTTGTAGACAAAAAAATACCTTAAATAACTAAAAATACTTCAAATAATCTCTTTCAATTTTTTTAAGGGCATTATTTAAGGTATTTTTAGACTAAAAAGCCTTAAAAAAATCCACTAATACATTTTAAAATTAATTATTTAAAGCATTTTTATAAAAAAAAAGTCTTAAATAAGCCTATTCAAAATTGAGGGGTATTATTTAAAGCATTTTTTGTCTAAAAACGCCTTAAAAATATGCTAGTATATTTTAAAGAAAATTATTTAAGATATTTTTGAACCAAAAATGCTTTAAATATTCTCTTTATATTTTTTAAATTGTTGACAGCTATCATATATATCAAAGAGATTATAGTAATTATTTAAGATTTAACATATGTGGATTCTTTATAATTAAATGAGTAAATCTGAATACAGGATGACTTGAAAATTGAAGAAAACCTCGGGTATCATATTTTTTTGGGATCACACTTTCTTTCGAAATTTATGATTCCGCGAACCAAATGCTTTCTAAGAAATTGGCCAATAAAAATTTTTAAAAAATATTTTTTAATAGCTTATTTTTAAAAAGTTTTATATTATAAATTTATATTGATTAGAAAATATAATGAATTTATTTAATAAATTTTTAAAAATTATTTTTATCAAAATTGATATTATTATGTAGTTTTCTATAAAATATCATTTTAACTATTTTATAAATTATTGATTTAAGGAGGTTATTTTGGATATTTTGTACTATATAATTTATTTTTTCATATAATATCAAACACAATAAATTAAAAATACCTGTGATTTATAATATTGTATAAAAATTAATAATCTAAGATTATTGGTGATCAAATCATTTTATTGATTTTATCACCATAATAATTAAATTATTACAATAATTTTAAAAATAATACCAAACGCTGTCTATAAAAAATTATCCTTGTCATCTCCATTGAGTCACAATCAGACTGTCCTAATTTCATATACTTCCTTTGCCCATTTCATGTTTTGTATTTATATGGATTTTTTAGGATACATTTGGCAAGTTTAAGGGCAAATGATAAAAGAAAAATAAGATGTTGACTCTCCCATAAAGGAATAACAATGTTAAATGTTGCATTTTTACATAGACTTCATTATTTTTAGTTGTCTCTATATCATAGTATTAATTTAATTATTGAATGTTCTCTCGTCATTCTAGTAAATTAATTATCATCTTTTTATATTTTATGAAAAATAAGATATTATTTTCTTTTCAATCTCATTCAATTTTTTATTTTTTTATAATTCTAAAGATAATGATGTTATTGTTCACTTTGAAAAGAATCACATGCATGTTGGAGCTATAATTAATTGAAAATTTGAAATATATTAATCGAAGTCATCATCATTTGGTTGTAAAAATAGGCCTTTGGGCCTAATGTTTGTAGATTAATCAGCAACCCATTCTCGGATGTTGGATACGTTAAATTCACTCATTTTCTCTTTATTATTGACTTTATCTTCTAGCCTCGCGTTAACTGGTGATTCCTCTCAAATTTCAACGCCGCCCTGTATCTAATAGGTTTAAAGCCAGCAACAAGATGAAAGGATCAAGCCGAATGAGAAGCGAACCTGTATTTATAAAATCTTAAGGTAAACGAGTTCGAATAGTGAATGACATACGGAACAATTCGTGAACAGTAAGAGTGGCGGCTACCGAACCTTGTTGGACGTCTTCCATATTCGAAACGTAGTAGTACAAAACTAGAAATTGTTCCAAGCATTGCCATGTTGAAAGCCGAGCTGCCCAAATTCAAAAGTTATAAGAGGCTGTGATTTAGTTTGGGATTTGCACTGTCATGCAAAATGAGCGAGCAATGTCTACGTAAAAGACCCTTTGAAAAATCGGGCAAACGGAAAGCTAAAGATTTGATAAACCAAAGTGAAATTGGCACTTTCCTCAAGTCGGTGTGCTTGTATCTAGACAATGGGCCCCCTACAACTTATGGTCAAATGCTTTTGCTATATACTTCTTGAAACACCAAGAATAATAATTTAAAAGGGAAAAGATTACATCAAAAGACAAATTAAATTCTTCTATCAAAGTTTGGAAGATTAGATTGATTGATGAATCCATGCTCATGAAAAAAAGATCAAAAGTTGTCGAAGATGATCAAGGGGTAAACAATTAATGGTCCCCAATTCGAAGGAGTACGTGTGAAGGGATCATAAACTGAAAACTAATGCTTTAAATGTATAATGAAAAAGAAAGAATATGATGTGCGGCCTACAATTTGGTGGATTTTTCGCAAGAGACAGAGGAGACCGTGTATGCTTTTATATCTTATTCTCCAAAAGAAGGAAAGAGTCGCTAACGAAGCAAGCTGTAAAACGCGTTTTTGCGTCTCCCTCTTTAAAGCAAAGACATACCTTCTCTTTATTGCTTTTGAAAAAGAAGCATTGATGCCACACTTCGGGTCTTCTATATATTCTTAGAAGAGAAAGAAGTGTGCATGAAAAAATTATTCACACATATCTTTCATTCAAACCGTATAACATAATTATATTATTAAAAAACTAATTATTTATTACACATTATGTGTATAAATCAATTAAAATATATAAATACTTACTATTTAATTATTATATGTGATGTATAATAAATAAATAATTTTTTAATAATATAATTAAATAGCATGATTTGAATGGAAGAACATATGTTGATGTAAGTAACTGTTTTATATCAATTTTTTCTTCTTAAAATGTTATGTTTTTTTTGGTTTTTTCACACATGACTACAAAAGGATTCTTTCAGTCGTGGAAATTAAAGGGTGGTCAAATATTTCAGTGTAAAAACCTTTTATAAATTTATGCATATAAAATTGAATTTATCTTTGTATTTTAGATTTTTCTTAATTCCGTTATATGACAAAAGTTAGGACGAATAGAAACACTTAGATATGAATTGTTTAATTTGGGTTGTACCAAATAAATCTTTATGGTCCAAAGCATTATCTTGTAAATTAAGGAATAAAAAGGAAAATTCTAAGGAAATAGATAATGGTTTAAAACAAAAAAAAACGAAGAAGTTTTCTTGTTTGTGGTTTCTATATATATATACGAAAAGGCTTGAAAAAGACTTAACGAAGTTTTTAACAGTTTTGGAAAGTAGAAGTTGTTAAGAGGGTATAAGAAGCTTTTTTTTCTTCTATGGAATGGAATAATTAGGTCAATTACAATTTTTTTTTGTTCAAAAAAATTGGAGTAAATAAGTTGTTTAGTTTTTATCTATGGATAAAATATGTTATATCTTATGGTTTAAGATAAGTGATTATAAGTCGTGTATTTAAGATGATTTCAACAAGTAACCATCAACAAGACTCGAACTCAATATCTTTGTCTTAAAAAAGATAAATATTAATCAATTGAATCAATAATTTATTGGTAAGTTAATTACAATTGTTATATTGTGTTTGTCGATTAATTATTTGAAATTATGGGTCTAACAAGAGCTTTTATAAAAAGTGTTAATCCAATAGAATTACTTTAAAATTATTTTACAAAAATTAAAATCACATTTAACAAACTTAATAAATAAATGTTGTAGAATTTTGGAAACTTTTTGTTAGTATGTTTTTAATAAGGAAAAAAAATTGATAATCAACTATATCAAATTAAATTATAATTTTTTACGTGAAGTAAATGCATAAAATAAAATGGTTTTTTTATAATGAAAACAAAAATGAAATAAATAAAAAATTTTGATAATATAAAAAATAAGGTAAAATAATATAATATTTTTTACAAATTTGTAAATTAGTATAGAATAAAGTGAGATTGTAAAAAAAATTCATTAAATATTTATTATTAAAATTAACTTTTTAAAGAAAGTTTGATTTATAATTTCATCTAAAAAAATTAAAATTGTTTCCCATATAAATTAAAATTTTAAAAAATTTCAAAAACCATACACGCAACTTCTACTTCTTCAATAAGCTCATCTACAAGGCTGGACCCAAAACACGCCATGATGGAATCTCTTGTTCAATTGAATTTCTTAATCCCCTCTCATATCTATGGTCCATTAATTTGAGATGAATTACTTAAAAAGGAATAAAAGACGCACGTGGGTTTTTTTAATGAAATAACAGGAAAACAATTTGTCATTCAATGGTTTTTCTTATCAGTTATTGCTACAAGCTTTAACACGACAATCCAATAATATACTGAAATCTAGGTGTGGAAAACAAGTAATTTTAGAGTGACAGTAAATAATTAATCCTTGAAAGGAAAAAGGCTAAGCTGTATTCAACATATGCATGGCCTCCCTTACTCTCTCCCTCTTCCTTCATAGCCAAGATGAAGATGCCACGGGTCCCGGAGCTATCATAGATCGACAATTGAAATTAAGGGTTTTTCTTTTTTTAATTTAGAAAATTTTTACCATTGGAAAATGTGAAAAAATGTGGAAGAAAGAGGAAATTAGAGTCCAAAACATTTTGTCAATTATATTCAACATCTCTAATTAAATGGTTGATACTTGATACAAACTTTAAAAAGATAAAGGCAAGAGAGACTGATGGAGTAAAAAATATAATGGTAAACCTTGAGCAATGGGCAGGCACACAGGACTAGATGTATTGATGCCCCTCGTTTGGATATTTTTAAGCATTGATAGAAAAAAAAATACCCTCAGTTTTTTTCACCGACACAAGGATAAATAGAATAGACGACACCCAACACTGTAACTGAAGCAATGGCTCATGTCACTTGAAGTCACCAGTCAGACTCATCTCCACGACTCCACCCCTCCTCTTTAATTCCTTCACCTTCCCATGTAACTATAATACTCCCATAGCCTTATTGCCTCCCCACTCCCCTCCCTCTTTTCTCCATAAAATCATTACATCTCTCTCTCTCTCTCTTCTTCGCTACATATATGATAATCTTCTTTTTTTATTTCTAAGTAAATATCTTCATTCTTTTTGGCAAATATCACCGTCTTTATTTCCCTAAAACATGCCAAATTTCTCCACACGGTCATTGTATTTTTTGGTCTTCTTGGTTGCTCTTTGTTTGTGCAACAGCTCGTATGCCGATAGCAATGATTTTCTGGTGGCTGGGTGTTTAAATGTTCCAGCAGCCGAGTTTGTAGGCTCTTTAAGGACCACCATTGATGTTATAAGAAAAGTGACCTCTATTGTTTCTCAGTTCGGCAACTTTTTTGGTGATTTTCGACTTACTAATGCCATTTCCGATTGCCTTGATCTGCTAGATTTTTCTGCTGACGAGTTAAGCTGGGCTATTTCTGCTTCCCAGCATCCTAATGGTACTTTATTTTAGCTCCCTATCCTTATTCCTTTTGCTTTTCTTATACATCTCACCGTTTTCCTTGAAAAAGTTTAAAACATATGGAAGCATATGGTTTTCAATCACTTTTTCTCCCTTTGGTGTTTTAACTAAATTATTATATGAAAGCATGTAATTACCTGCAACTTTTTGGTGGCTAGTTTAACTGTAATCTCTACTTTATTAGCTAACTACATCTGCCTTTTACTTTATTTCCACTTAATCTCTTATATATGATTTACTTATTTGCAGGTAAAAATAACAGCACTGGTGATCTAACTTCTGATTTGAGGACATGGCTGAGTGCTGCAATGGCTAATCAGGAGACATGTATTGACGGCTTTGAGGGTACAAGTGGCATGGCCAAAACAGTAGTAGGAGGGAGCCTTAACCAAGTCACTTCACTGGTCAGCGATCTTCTGACCAAGGTGCACCCTGGTCCCGGTTCCCGGTCCAATGGTGGTACCAGGAATGGTGGTCTAAAAGGTGGTGGAGGTGGCGCTAGTGGGGGTCATCCTGGCAAGAAACTTACAAATAAGAACCAATATCCATCATGGTTCAAAAGGGAGGATAGAAAATTGTTACAAGCCAACGGGGTATCAGCTGATGTTGTGGTTGCAGCAGATGGGACTGGAAATTTTACTAGCATAATGGATGCTGTGTCCGCAGCACCCGACTACAACATGAGCAGATACGTCATTTACATTAAGAAGGGTTTATATAAAGAGAATGTGGAAATTAAGAAGAAAAAATGGAACCTTATGATCGTTGGTGATGGAATGGATGTCACAGTGGTATCTGGAAATCGAAGCTTCATTGATGGTTGGACCACATTTCGATCAGCAACCTTTGGTAAGTAGTAGAGTAAATTACTTTTAATGGACTTAGTTTTATCGGTTGAATCTATTAAGTTCTTAAACCTTGAGCATCCCTTGCCGCCCATTAAAGCATAAATGCATGATCATAAAATCTCCACTGAAAATTCAATACAGGGGTTGATTCTCTGCTCCCATGGCTCAACTAGTAAACCTCCTTAAGGACATGGGTTGGCGTCATTATTTACTACAGCTAGGTAGTCTAGGCTCATTTCATTTAATTAGTCTGTACATATATCAATTGTTCTTGTTAAGGAGGTTGTCTCGCATTTTTTGAGTGTTAGAGTTGGCATAGTTCAATATGACATCCCAAGAACCCGTACCCTCCATGGTTTGTATGGGAAGTATGTAAGATGTTTGCCCCTAGGCTTTACTTACTTTTCACTTTCAGTATTCAAAATAATAAATGATAAAACGTGTTTCTCCATCTAACTTGCTTGAGATGAGACAACAATTAATTTTACAAAGGAAAGAGATCTATCTCCTGCCTCTACATGCAGCTTGGTATACAGTATTTAGAACGATTTTGAGTTTGTGATTCTGCACTTCTTTGTCAACCTGTTATTTCTAGAGGACACGTGTAAGAATCTTGATAGAGTTATGGTGTACTAATCATATTTGTTTTATTTATTGTTTTTGTTCTGATATGCATCGAATATTTTGTCCTAAAATATGCAGCTGTAAGTGGAAGAGGATTCATAGCAAGAGATATAACATTTGAGAACACAGCTGGGCCCGAGAAACATCAAGCAGTAGCATTGAGATCCGACTCTGACCTATCAGTTTTTTTCCGATGTGCAATTAGGGGCTACCAAGATTCACTCTATACTCACACAATGCGTCAATTTTTCCGGGAATGTAAGATCACTGGCACTGTGGATTTCATATTTGGTGATGCCACTGTGGTCTTCCAGAACTGTCAAATCCAAGCCAAGAAAGGCCTATCAAACCAGAAAAACACGATCACCGCGCAAGGGCGCAAAGACCCGAATGAACCTTCGGGCTTCTCCATTCAATTCTGCAATATCTCAGCTGATACAGATTTGTTACCTTTCGTTAACTCCACTCCTACATACCTTGGCAGACCCTGGAAGCAGTATTCAAGAACTATTATCATGCAAACCTACATTAGTAATGCTATAATGCCTCAAGGGTGGCTTGAGTGGAATCAAGATTTTGCTTTGAGCACATTGTACTATGCGGAGTACATGAACTTTGGGCCAGGGGCTGGGCTTGGTGGCAGAGTTAAGTGGCCTGGCTACCATGCATTAAATGACTCTGCTCAAGCTGTTAATTTTACAGTGGCTCAATTCATTGAAGGAAACTTGTGGTTACCGTCAACTGGCGTTAAATACACAGCAGGATTTGGGGTATAAAAAGCAATCGAATGGCCTCTTTTTCATAACGCAATGGTGCTAAGTTTTGCGTAGAATTTTTTTTTTCTCCGGTGGGTTTGAACTTTCAAGTATTTTAGCTTTGGAAAGTGTTAATGCCTAGCATTTCATAATCAGACCCTTTTATCTTTCTTATGTCAGCTAAAGATCTCTGATTTGCATTCATTACTCACCAAAGAATCGATCTACGTTATCCCATTAGACAATTCATTATTTTATCATCAATTTAATTTCCTGGCTTTAGGAAAAATTTAAGACACGAAGTATTAAAGAAAACAAATGCCCCAGCTAAGAAGGTTAGAAAATGTTGATAAACAAACTAAGCAGGCTAACTCTTTTTTTCATATGCAGGGACAAAAGTTAAACGCAATTGACTTTAGGGAAAAATCCAAAAAATCTTCTCAAATCACGTTACATTATATTTAGATTGAGGGAAGGGGAAGGAAAGCAAAAGAAAATAAAGAAAAATAATGAAAATAAAAAAGTTTTTTTTTGTATAAATTTTTAATTTAAAAAAAAGTAAAAATTAAATATTTTTTTGTAATTTTTATTTTTTTAATATCCTAATTTAGAAAAAAAACTAAGAAAAGAAAAGTTGAAAAAATTTTATTTTTATAAAAAATTATTATATTTATTTTTTTATTAATATTAAAAATTTAGTAAAAAAACCTATTCATATTACAATTTTTTGGTAATTTTTTTCAAATAAGTTGTACATATTTTTTTCAATATAATTTTTTTTTAAATTTTGATGAATGATTAAATATGAATAAATATATTTTTTGAATTTATGAGATGTAATATTTTTATGAGATGCAATAGCTAAAAAATTTATCAATACATGTTTATAAACTATTTTTTTATTTGACTTAATTAAAAATTATTAATATAATAATAATTATGAGATCATATAAGATAATAAACATATCGTAATCTAAAAATATTTTAAAGTTTTTTATTATATAAAAAATTAAAGAAAAAAAAAAACCCGTGAAGAAAATAATTAACAATTTCCGTGGATTGATGCCGCTCCTTTGTCCCTCAATCCAAATTGGTAAAATACAAAATATGCAAGACTGACTTTTTCTCTCAAATTTCCTGTGAAGAAGGGAAAGAAGAAAGGAAACTTGACCCCGGGAGACAGGACACCAGGCAAATTGCTGTCTATCTTAGTTCCGCGTATTCTTTACTACATAATTTAGAATTTTCCACAAACCACCGTAATTAAGATCGAATTCTTAGTACAGAGTCACATGCAATACTAATCCAAACAAAAATTCGTGCAACATACGTTCCCGAAGACGGTATCTTTAAAAGCAATCAGCAATGAGCCTTGTTTGATCTCCTAGGCCTATAAATTAAGAAAATCTTCTCAGCTTCTGCCTCAGCTTTCGATGGCTTCTTCCATTTCAAAATTGTCAATCCTCCTCTTTACTGTGTGCTTCTCTTCAACGTTTGCTCTAAACACTTCTTCAACATCATCTCTAAACTCCAATCTATCTTCCATACGAAGTTTTTGCCAAACCACTCCATACCCAGATGCTTGTTTTGATTCATTGAAGCTTTCCATTTCAATAGATGTCAGTCCCAATAGAGTTAACTACCTACTTCAAACGCTCCACAGTGCGTTATCTGAAGCTGGAAAGCTAACCAATCTATTCTCTAATGCTGGAAGTGCTAATATTGTTGAAAAACAAAGAGGAACTATGCAAGACTGCAAGGACCTCCACCAAATCACACTATCTTCCTTGAATAAGTCAATATCCAGAATCCAAGCAGGTGATTCACGGAAGCTAGATGATGCAAGAGCTTATCTGAGTGCAGCTCTCACAAACAAGGATACATGTTTAGAAGGATTAGATTCTGCTTCTGGTCCATTGAAACCTACTTTAGTGAAATCTTTGTTTAGTACTTACGAGCATGTCAGTAACTCTCTTGCAATGCTTCCTAAGTTAGGTCCTAATAAAAAAGGCCATCGAAATCGTCGGCTCCTGGGATTTCCAAGCTGGTTGTCAAGAAAAGCTCGCCGGATTTTGCAAAGCACTGATGATGAATACGATCCGAGTGAAGTGCTTACTGTAGCTACCGATGGAACTGGAAATTTCAGTACCATCACGCATGCTATAAACTTTGCTCCAAATAATAGTAATGATAGAATAGTAATCTATGTTAGAGAAGGGATTTATGAAGAGAATGTGGAAATCCCAACCTACAAAACCAATATTGTTCTGCTTGGGGATGGAAGTGATGCCACTTTCATTACGGGTAACAGAAGTTTTGTCGATGGCTGGACCACTTTCAGATCTGCGACTGTTGGTAATGTTCAAAACTCCTAGCTCTTGGTGAAATTATGATATATTAGTAGTAATAATACTAAAAAATACTTTGGTTTTGTATATGGAATCCATCATGAGGCTTAAAATATTTGAAATTATGATTCATAATTCTAATTTTAACTCATAGTTTTTGTAACTTTATGTTGCAGCGGTATCAGGTGAAGGCTTTTTGGCTCGGGACCTGACCTTTGAGAACAGAGCAGGGCCAGAGAAGCAGCAAGCAGTTGCATTAAGAGTAAACGCAGACTTCGCAGCACTGTACAGGTGCACAATCAATGGTTACCAGGATACATTATGTGCCCACTCCTTTCGACAATTTTACCGTGAATGTGACATATCTGGGACCATAGATTATATATTTGGGAATGCTGCTGTGGTTTTCCAGGCATGCAACATAATCTCCAGAATGCCAATGCCAGGTCAGTTTACAGTAATTACAGCTCAATCTCGAGACTCGCCATATGAGAACACTGGAATTTCGATACAGAGTTGTTCGATTCTTGCCAGAGATGAACTGTATGAGAGTTCAAGCAACGTTAAAAGCTACCTTGGAAGGCCATGGAGGCTGTACTCCACAACAGTTTATCTTGAATCCTTCATTGATGATTTTATCGATCCTACCGGCTGGACTAAGTGGTCTAACGATCAAGGCGTAGACACCCTTTATTACGGGGAGTACAATAATTATGGGCCAGGTTCGGGAACGGATAATCGAGTTGCTTGGCCTGGCTATCACATAATGGATTATGATGACGCCAATAATTTTACTGTCTCAGAGTTTATTGCTGGTGGAGCCTGGCTGGATTCCACTTCATTTCCATATGATGATGGGATTTGAGATTTGAGCAAAAATATAACGGCCGTTTTGGTCATTCTAGTCTATTTCTAATAATATTGTAATGAGACTCTAGCCAAGGGGCCTACAAGAAGATCGTGAAAGATATTGAAGGTAGCTAAGAGAACTTTACTTTACTTTACAGGAGAAATCCAAATGGATCCCGAGTCTTGTCATGTACTAGTAGGTTTCCAGTCTTCAGAGTTTAAATTGTACTGTTAAACAGTCGAAAGTGCAAACTGCCAAGCAGAAATGTCCATGGCGATTTTGTTGAACTTTACATTGTTTTGAATTAGCTTAAAATTTTCTTCTTGGGGTGCTACTGCTGGTGAACATAATAGAACATAGGAACCAAAAATACGTATGGCTGTCGTTTTTTTATCTTTCAAAAATTTTGTAAAATTATCAAAACGATTTCCTCGAAGATGTCACTATAAATATCTGTCGGTAAGATTCTGAGATGCTTTCCTTGAGTAAAAAGCTGATAATAATTTCGAAAAAGGATTAACAATGGTGGGCACTTGGTGATTTCCGGACCCAAGGCCTCAAGATCTTTTCCCTGTTCTACGTTTGTTTTGGTCTAACACGTGGTCTTCAACATATCAATTTTTAAGTCTACGAGCTGTCCTTTTGCACCTAAATGGACGCAACACAACATGTTCTTTGTTCACCTGTTGGCTTTGTGCAGCCGTTGCTACTTGCTGAGTTTCTTCGACAGTAGCGATCCATCCTGTTTCCACCCCATGATGGCCGTCACTCTCCATACTTGATAGGCCCTCGTCATCTTCGTTTGGACTCCAGAGCCCAAAAAGGGATATAACAGGGTCAGTGAAGCCCATTGCGCAACATTTCAGACTACCGGATTGTTACGATTCACTATATATGGAAACATGAACATTGGTATGCGATTTCTAACGATTTCACACTTTGATTTCCTTCCATCATGTAGTTATTTTCCAGGAAAAATTGCCTTCTAGCTAGGTTTGATTGATTATTATTAACAAGAATTTGGGCCACATTACCCATGCCTATGTGAGAAAACTTTTTTTTTTTCTTTTTTTAGCTTGAAACTACTTGAAAGGCACTTTAAAGAGAGATTAAGCAGAGCAAAAAATAGAAAAATGGTACTAAAAGTACTAAAAATTTTAAGATTTTGGATAGAAAAGAGAGAAGGGAAAAATAAATTATGATTTGGAATTTACCCTAAACCCCAAAACGATAAGAACCTTCTGGTTTTCTGTCGATGAGTCTTTTCATGAATTAGTATTTGATAATTCAGCTTCCAAAGCAAAACTAACTCAAAGACACAATGAAAGGAAATTAGCTTCAACATATTAGAAGACTTCCATTGGAAGCAGTGGCTGAACAACTCATACATGTTATTCAATACACATGTGAAATTCAACCTTGCTAAAAATAGGATGTTACTCAATTGGCAATGGCCTTTATAATTGATTTATAGAAATCTCAAAATCAAAAGAGTTTCCTAGTGATGTCCAAACTTCCCCATTTCGTATCTGCAATATTACTTTCCCCTTCTTTATGCATTGAACCCTCCAATCTTTCTTCATAGGAGACAAACAAAAGGCTATTGACTGTAATTCATCAACATTTTTCTAGTTTGGTACCAACGAATTTATTAATATGCTCAGCTGCTATAGAGGTTTATGAATCTCTGGTGTTGTTAGCAGGTGCCGACCAGACTAAATCACTAAACTCCCAATGTAACAAAGTCTCAAGTTAGTTATAGGTTGATCAGAACCACAAAGAAAAGCAGAGTTTGCCCATGTTTAGCAATGAAGTCAGCTAATGAATTAACCTTCCATAATTGGACCTAATTTAACAGCAATATTTATATACGGTCATAAGCATTTTAAGTTCAATGGTGGAATTTCGAAAGCTATATGGACAAGAACTGACGGGAAATGCGGTTTGGAGAGAGAAATTTTCAATCATTCATTTTTGAAAATATAACTAACTTTTAAATAGAATGCCTGAAAGCTCTCCTGTCCAGACTCCTTTTGTAACTTGCCTGACATTAAGATTGAACCTTAAATCCAAAGAACAATCAGGAAGAGGAAGGAGCTATAGGAATATATATTTTCATTGGATTTCTTGATTTCGCTCTCTGCCTTAGCTCGAACCTAAGGCAGAGAGACCTCTGCCTTGAGCCAATATAAAAATGGTTTTCCAAGATTTTGACATAATACACGAACGTCGAAGGCTTGAGAGACAACAGAAATTCAGAAAGAGGATTGCCATTGCCGTGGTAGCAACCTTTGTCATCATTGGTCTAGTTGCGGCCGGAATCTTTGTTGTTGTCTCTAGTAATAAAAAAGAACAAGAGACTGTTGGCAACAATAAAACACACCAAGCTCCATCTACTAACCAGGTGTCACGGTCAGAAAAGCTCATAAAAACTATTTGCAATGGTACCTCTTACAAGGAATCATGCGAGAACACCCTCAAGAAGGCAGTGAAAGAGCACTCTTCCACGGCTCAACCCAAAGATCTTCTCAAGTCTTCAATCTCAGCAACAGCTGAAGAGCTTGATAAGGCCTTTAGCAAAGCCAGCTCATTTCAATTCAACTCTCCAGAGGAGAAAAAGGCGTTTAATGTTTGTAAAGAAGTCATGGCAAATGCCAAGGAAGAATTAAAGACTTCTATTGCTAAAGTAGGAGATAAAGATATAGGGAACCTATTATCCCACGGTGAATTGGACAATTGGTTAAGTGCTGTAATTTCTTACCAAGAAACGTGCATTGATAGCTTCCCTGATGGAAAATTGAAGACAGATTTCAAGAGTACCCTGAACTCTAGCCAGGAGCTCACCAGCAATTCCCTTGCCATGTCTAGAGAATTCTCTTCATACGTTTCTTCGGTGATGGAGATGCCAACGGCCAGCCGCCATCTTTTAGAATCTAACTCTCCTTCAGTGGGGAAGGATGGCCTTCCTAATTGGTTAAACCGTGAAGAACGCAGGATGTTGAAGGCTGCAAATGCTGATAAGCCAACACCAAATGTAATTGTGGCAAAAGATGGTAGCGGAAAATTCAAAACAATTTCTGAAGCACTTGCGGCCATGCCAGAAAAATATGATGGAAGGTATACTCTGCCTCTTTATAAAAGTATTAAATATTGAATATTAATGTGTTAAATGAATTTATTGATCCATCATTGAACAAAAACTTTGACATGATTATTTCCATTAATTTTCTAGCATACTTCAGCATTATTCTTTTCTGTTTGAACATGTTTATTGAGACAAGCTATTTCTCCATTTTCAAAATGCAGGTATGTGATTTTTGTTAGGGCAGGAATATACGAGGAGACTGTACACGTAACAAAGAAAATGGTAAACCTTACCATTTATGGTGATGGATCACAAAAGACCATTGTCACTGGGAACAAAAATTATGTTGATGGAGTTCCTACTTACCTGACAGCAACTTTTGGTAAGTTGATGATGACTATTCACTCAGTATTCTAGAGGACTTTTACCATAGGACTAATATGGTATAGCATGCAAGTTTGAGATAAATCTTCCTCAATTGAAATGGGTAATTTTCTGAATAAAATTTGTTCACTTGCAAGTATTTCCGGTAGAGGGGCCATCCTCAACTCATAATTCAAAGAACTTGCTAATTTTCAGTCATCCAGAAATATTGAACGAAATGACAATGGAAGAGAAAAATGAATTTACTTCTTCTCCTATCCTAGTAGGTGAAATTTTAGAAATCAACAAAGAAAATAAAATGGTAACAGTAAAACATTTAGATTATATGGCTCCTTTTTCATTCCAATCTGAAATTTCAAACAAATGACACGTTGATGTGTAGATGAAATGTCATTGGACATTTTGTTTTTGTTTCAGTGGCTTCTGGTGATGGCTTTTTGGCACAAGCTATGGGATTCAGAAATACTGCTGGGCCCGAGAAGCATCAAGCAGTGGCTGTGAGAGTTGATGCTGATAGGGCAATTTTCCTCAATTGTCGCTTTGAAGGATACCAAGACACCTTATACGCACAAACTCATCGCCAGTTCTATAGAAGCTGTGTGGTCGCTGGCACCATAGATTTCATCTTTGGTGACGCAGCTGCTGTGTTCCAAAACTGCTTGATTTACGTTAGGAAGCCCATGGACAACCAAAAGAACATTGTTACTGCCCAGGGGAGGAAGGACAAATTTGAAACAACAGGAATTGTCCTACAAAACTGTAAAATTTTACCGGATGTTTCATTTACTTCGGTTAAGAGCCAATTCAAGAGTTACCTAGGCAGGCCCTGGAAGGAGTACTCGAGGACTATCGTAATGGAATCAGAGATCGAGGATTTAATTGACCCTGCTGGATGGCTAGAATGGGAAGGCAACTTTGCACTTAGCACCCTTTTTTATGCCGAGTACAACAATAACGGACCTGGAGCAAAAACTGATGCCAGGGTCAAATGGCCAGGCGTCAAGGTTATTAACAAGGATGAAGCCATGAAATTTACCGTAGGAACTTTCTTACAAGGGACTTGGATCAACGAAACAGGCGCTCCAGTTCGTCTGGGACTGGGGAGTTAAAGATTCATTTCTCGTCATTTAGTTATCTCAAGAAACGGGACTAGTAAACAGAGATATAATGCCATGAAGAGATTTTTTCCCCCTCATCTCTAGCATTGTTTCTTTGAGTTTGCGTATATGACATTTTATTGAATTTTTTTTTTTTATAATCTTGAACTAAAGAAAAAGTAATCGCATGATATGATATTGATATCAGAATGCTTAGTACCAAAAACGAAATAGAAAAAAGACAATGTATTATAAACGAAATAGAAAAAAAGACAATGTATTATATAAGATAGTTTTCTCTTCTGTTGTTTCCCCGTAACAGTCTACCTAAAGATAGCTTTATATATATTCAAGAGATTGTTAATCTTTTCGAATTAATCCTAGTAAATAATATTATATATTTGTCCACATATCAGTTGCAACAAGAAACGGAATACTATGCAGAGACAAGGATCCATTTTCTAAAATAGATTAACTGCAACAAAGCTTGCTTGCTTCCTAATTGACGTAGTTCAAGAAATAATAATGACAGTAAACCGCGTGGTGGAGTTGACCATTGGGTGCAAATAATCAGGTGATGGCTGCCGGCCAACCCTTCCAAGAATAGATCGTTTAAGTTTTGAAAGTTTCCTAATTGTTGGACAAATGGAAGCTGCTTGTAACTAGACATAAGTGACTTTTAGTGTTGTTTGAAAAAAAACAAGTTAAACCATCGAAGTTATCAGTGTTTGTTCCTCTACAATTTGCTTCTGACTATACGCTTTACGGTTAAAACAGTATAAAGAAGAATTTTCATACCAATAAAAAAACTTCAGAGTTGAAATTGACCTTGGTTGTAGCCAAATGTTGACTTGTCAACAGGGAAAGAGTCATCCGATGGAAATTGAACATCAATCGTCATCCGATTCATTATCGTTGGGCCATTTCAAACTAAGTCAACCCTCGTTAAATTTATATTTAATTAATTTTTTTTGAAAATTTATTGTAAAATGGGTAATTAAATAATAAAAAAAAAGAATCAGGATGTTCTTTCCTCGATCATTTATATTCTTTAGCCTCTTGTTTGTAACATTTGCAATACAACAACAACAACCATATGGATTCAATGAAATCCTTCGAGAGCTATAGCAAGGCAGATGAGCTCGAAGAACAGGCCTATCGGAAAAAGACCCGCAAGCGCATTATTATCATTGGACTCTCTATCGTTATCTTGATAGCGATCATCATTGCTGCAGTCTTAGGAACACTTTTGCCTGTAAAAAAATCAAAATCCCTAGAGAATCAAGCAACTTACACAGCCGAGACCATCAATGCAATGTGTAATGTGACTCGGTATCCCGACTCTTGCGATTCAAGCATAGCTGCCCTAAGGAGCTCCTCAAATGATACTAACCCAAATCCAGGCCCTGCAGAAATCTTCACGCTATCCATGAAAGTTGCTCTCAATGAATTGATAAGGCTATCCTCTTTGCCACAAAAGATTATTTCTTCTTATGTAAATAGTGATCCCCTGGTGCGTGGAGCGTTGGACAATTGCGAAACCCTTTTCAAGGACGCAGTAGAGTATATCAATGAATCCATATCATCCGTGCAAGTGGGGCAGGGAGAGAAAATGCTGTTGTCAACGGCCAAGATTAACGATATCATGACGTGGCTCAGCAGCGCAATCACGAATCAGGAAACATGTTTAGATGGACTGATTGAGGCTGCAAACCACACGGCTATACCCCAAGAACTGGAATATGCTATGCGGAACTCCACCGAGTTCAGCAGTAACAGCCTGGCTATTGCATCCCACATAAAGATCATCCTGCAACGTTTCCAACTTCCGACCCATCGGAAGTTGCTAAAACTTGACAACCACCCTGGTCATGAATCTGATTCCAGTTTTCCTAGCTGGGTTCATAGCGGGGACAGGAGATTGCTCCCGGAGGAAAATCCTAAACCTGATCTAACCGTGGCTCAAGATGGTACTGGAGACTTTAGGACAATAAGTGAAGCAGTTAAATTAATTCCAGAGAAGAACGAATCAAGGCTTGTTATCTATGTGAAGGAAGGCGTATATTTAGAGAATGTGAAAATTGATAAGGACTACTGGAATGTAATGATTTATGGAGATGGAATGTACAAGACTATCGTCTCTGGCAGCTTGAACAAGGTGGATGGAACCCCCACCTTTTCCTCCGGCACCTTCAGTAAGTGAAATGCAAATTGTCATTAGTTATTTTCTCCTTTAGCAGATCGACGGGTTCCTCTTCGATTAATTGAACTTTTTTTTTTTGTGAAAATTTTATGATCAAGAACAATGGTTCCTCACATTGCATGCAGTTGCGGCTGGAAGGGGATTCATAGCTAAAGACATGGGCTTCAAAAACACTGCTGGCCCGGTAAAAGAGCAAGCTGTTGCATTGCGTTCGTCCTCAGACCAATCTGTATTCTACCGCTGCTATTTTGATGCATACCAGGACACTCTTTATACACATTCCAATCGCCAGTTTTACCGTGATTGTCATGTCACTGGAACCATTGATTTCATCTTTGGAAATGCTGCTGTGGTTCTACAAAATTGCAGCATTCAACCAAGGCAGCCCGGGCCTGACCAGTTCAACACCATCACGGCCCAAAGCAAGACTGACCCAAATCAAAACACGGGTATGTCGATCCAACGGTGCCAGATTACGCCTTTTGACAATCTGACGGCTACATCGTACCTTGGTAGGCCTTGGAAGGATTTTGCAACCACCATATTCATGCAATCATACATTGGAGAATTCGTGGACCCAGAAGGATGGACCGAGCGGTCTCAGGGTGTTGATCCACCTAATACCCTATTCTTTGCCGAGTATGAAAATTTGGGGCCTGGATCAGGGATCAGTGAACGAATTAATTGGCCCGGTGTTAAGCCCAATATCACCAATGAAGAAGCAACAAGATTTACCGTCGAGTCTTTTATTCAGGGAAGCCACTGGTTGCCTAAGGCTAATATAATGTATGAATCGAGTTTAGAATCAGGAAGATGAAATCATGTTCAAAAGGAGAGCAAATTCAATGGATGGAATATATATACAAATTATGAATTATTCTTTTGATAATTAAATTTTATCGTTCGAAAGAAAGCAGGATAACCTATTACAATTGAAGTAAATTATGAGAAAAACGAAAATGCTACTAATTTTATTTTATTTAACATCACTTAATCCATGTCAGGGTAAGTATCTTGGATTAAAAACATGAACTCAACACACATAAAAATCCTTGTAAACATTCAACAATTGACCCCTAATGATGTTCATCAATATATAGTTCAATACCTCTCTAATGCATCTAATTTGCAGCTTTCAAGTTAATGCATATGTTATGCTCTAAATTAGGGAACATTCAATTATTTAACACAAATTTTTATGAGTCATTTAGTGCTTTAAACTTGAAAAAACATGTTGCTTCAGCCTTCAGGTAATTCTCAATATATAAAAACACTCGATTAGCTTCCGCTCAAATTTCAACAAAGGAATGAAGAAGGATTTATCGTCAGATTTCAGGTCATTCAAGTTGATGATGAATTCATAAATGCCTGGGAAGACTGATCAAGAAAGATGTCTGACAATCGCGTGAGATGCACTAATGTGAAAGATGATACAAACGCCAATGAAAACGTATCTTTTCTGGTTGATAGTCAAAGCATCCAGGTAGTAGGCTAGTAGCATGTTCTTGGATTAATGTATTTTCCTGCATTTATGTATAGTTGCTTTGCAGGCCCTAACCTAGTGTTTCTCAACAAAAATTGTCTTTTCTACTACCGACCTTGACTCTTTTATTAACATTTAGTTATAGAACTTTCATGCCTTGGTTTATAAACGTCTGCCAATGTTGGCTCTCTCTACGGTTCTAAACTGGAAAGAGTGATACCTGCTAAAAATAAATAACAAACAAAATTACAATTAACGAAGATGCAGAGATTTCTGTCTTCACTTGAATGACAGGCAAATAGAAGATGAGATCTCATTTGAAAACATAATTAAAAACAAAATCGAATTGAAGGTCTAGAATTGTTAGCCTGATCAGCAATTTGGTTTTTTTGATAAATCACAATGCCGATGCTTAGTAATAAAATCCATTCATGTAGCAAAATTCTTCTTTACCAAACCCACAAGAAAGGCTTCGAGTTCCTTTCTCAATGCGGTTTTAGCTCATTCTATGTTGCAAATCATTTCTTCCGCCACTGTGGCCACATCTTCAAGGTTAAAAGGCAAAGACTTGGTTTACAATGCCTGCTGTCACACTCAATACTATCAGCACTAAAATCAGATCCTCGGAGTGTAAATTCAGATCTTAGAGGTTTGGCTGACATTGCATTAAATGTAAGCATAGCACATGGAATGGAAACTCTATCCTACATTAGTTCTTTGAAGTTTAGCCCTGGTAATTACACCCCATTTGCATCTAGATGTCTGAGTGATTGCACAGAAGAATACTCGGACGCTGTTGAAAATTTACAAGAGTCAACACATGCTCTAAGGACAAGGTCTTACAACACGCTGGACACATTGGTGGCTGCTGCAATGACAGATGCTGATACTTGTGAGGGTGGATTCGGGGAGGTGCCTGGCATTGAGTCTCCCCTGACAGAGAAAAACCAGTATTTCTACAAGTTATATAGTAATTTCCTAGCAATAACTACTCTTCTAAGTTGATTGATTCATATGCTATTGATCTTACTGATTTCAGGCCATTTTCATATGGCTGATATTCTAGGCCACTTCCAATTTCATTTTTTGTTTTTAATAGAACACTCAGTTATCAACAAATTCCTTGACATGAATTAGAAGTTGATTTTGAAAAAGCAGCTTTTACCCTTTTTCTTCTTGAAAATTCACGATGTAGATTGTATCCAACAGGACAGCAAAGAGTTTATATTAAGATGCTATATAGCCTCAAGAAGCCTTGGTTTACAATCATATGCACTCCGATGTTAATGTCAAATAGTCTATTAATAGTTTTGAGTAACAAAATGAAAGGTTACATGAAAATTGATAGAAGGCAAGGGGAGGAAGAATAAGAAAAGCAAGAAAAGAAAGGGAAAAGGAAATATTCCCTACGATGTCACTAGTGATGAAGGAAAATGGAAAGGAAAAAGAAAAGACTTGGGCCTTGGTTATCAAATCTAGGCTTTGGCCTTGAGTCATTGATCTCTTCACATAATATTTTTTTAGTAGGTTAATGTCATAACAATATCTAATGTGATATTTAAATTATAAATATGATAATTAGAGTGATATTTATTTTTAAGATAGTTAAATTAAATAATAATGTATGATGAATAAATAATTCTTCAAGTATTATATTAGTTAATAAATTCATAATATAAGTATTATATTAAAAATTTTTAAAATTCAATATTATATTAAATATTTTATTATAATTTAAGAAACATTCATTATATTAACATTTTTTTTTTTTTACTTTTGAGTTATAATTGAGGTTCCAACTGAATCTCTCGTTCCTTAAATTGATTTACATAAATTTTGCAGTAGGAATATATGTAAATCATTTTTTTTTTTGAAAAATTCACTTTCAATAAAATAAGATAAGTGATTGTCTACTCTTTTCCTTTCATTTCATTTTCTTTTTTTTTTTTTTTCATTTTTCGAACATAACCAATAGTAATCATGTTTAAAGAAATCATTATCTAATTATAAGATCTCATCCCAAGTCAGAAAAGATGGATTGAAAACAATCTTATCCTTAGTATAACTTATTCCTAAAGTGATTAATAAGTGATTACTTTTTCCATCAAAAAGAGAAAGTGGATTACTTTTTTTTTTTTTCAAAGATAAGTTGGACCCGCACATCAAAATCAACGTTACTAAAGGAGACAAAGTTTTATATGGTTTATATTTGATGTATTTTTAATATATAAATTATATATATTGTTAATGAGTTAGATAATTATATATCATTAATGATATTAAATAAATGATTATATCTTATTAATGAGTAAATTTTTTATAAAATATTAATTTTCATATTTTTATTTTATGAATTGCTATTTATTTATTTATGAAGTATCGTCATATGAATCTCTAATAATATATAAAATATATTTACTAATAATGTATTAAATATAATATATATTTTTTATTTTATTTTCTATACCTTCATTTTTTGTGCAACAAGGCAACATGCATGCTAATCTTGAAATCTATCATCATCATCATAAATTAAAAATTGTCTACAAAGAACAAAAATGAAAAAAAAATTTTTTTTAATGAATAATTTTGACATTTTATGGGAAAGATTGGGAGCTGCATTTTTGACCCGTTTTAAGACATTTGATGGATTTTTCTGTTGGGTTTTATGTTTGGGGTTTTATTTTGATTTTTTATTTTTAGTATAAGATTTATGCTTTATATTTTTTGTTTATTTGGTGTATTAACTTAGATTTTTATATAATTTAATTATCTTTTTTTATACTTATTTAATTAATTCATTTGTAAAATTTTTATGTTATTTTGATATCAATTAAATTTTAATTTGAAATTATTATAACAATAGATTGCATTTGTCAATTCATTTGTAAGTTTTAAACTTTTTATTAAAAAAAAAGAAAAATATTTATATTTATGTAATTGACATTTATGCTTCAATTGCTTAAATATTAAAAAATAAAAGAAATAAAAATGCAGCTAGTGTTATATAGTTTAGAGATTCACTAATAAAATTAAGTAAAGGGACGTTTCTACGATTATCCTTTTCGAAAGTGAAAGTGATGATCTATGCCTATCAATACGTCACTTTATCATTATGCTAATGAATATCATAACAGGTTTTTATTATAATTTTTAGTTGCATATAATTGCAGACCATTTTCAACTAAATTAACGAAAAGTGATCTCAATTTTATAAATTTCATTTAGAATTTTAATTAGAGATGTTCATGATCAGATTAGATCTAAAAGACACTTCAAATCCTTTAAGGTTTCGCCTATTTTGATTGAACCTAGCCTGCAGGCACTCAGACCTGTACCTGTAGATAGGTCTAATTTTAACTAATTAATGGCCTCTTAATTTACGACTCTACTATATATAGCTACCATATATTTTAAAACCAAGTAATGTTTCCCTAAGCTGGTATTTGGAATGTCCACGTAAGGTAGTAAAATTAAAGAAGCAACATATATAAATACGGAGAGAATAATAAAGTAGAGCCATGCAGCTTCTTTTATATACGTTGAAGTCATTTAGTTTAGATTTGTTGGGATAAAGCTTACATATGAATAAAAAATCTTACGTTATTAAGAAATTTGAATGAGATATTTTATATATATATAAAAGACTCAAAAATTTAATAGCTTAAGTTTTTGAATTTAAGTGATGTTCAATACATATGTATGAATTTTTAGCATGCTTTCATGGTTCAAAGTGTGGTTTATTTTTTCGATAACTGATATCAAGGTTAAAGTCATATTCAAATTCTAATAGTATTGTTGAAGCGAGATTGTTGGTAGATCAAAGGTTGATCGTATACAAACTCCATGTGTTCGAACGTTAGTATTAAAAGATTTGACTAGGATGCATCGATTATATGATAATATATAAGAAATTATTGACAGATTGGAGGTTGATTGCGTCCATTAACTCCATATGCTCGAACGTCGGTACTAAAATGTTTAATTTGGATATAGCGATTGTATGATAATATGCAAAAGCGAAATACTCAAGTGGGAGATGTATTAAGTTAATTTGGAGTGCAAGATTGAAGGAAAACTGAGACAACCTAAGTGGCAAGGTTGAATGTTGTGGCTTGACCTAAAAGCGTACTAGAGATATGAGGTTACTTAGCCTAAAAGGAAGTGTTGATAGGACTTATTCTTATGAAGAGTTGAAGTGAGACTTGATCAAAACTCACAAATAAACGAGAGAGATTATTGAGATAAAATTTACATATGAATAAAAAATCTCACATCAATAAAAATTTTGAATGAAATATCTATATATACATGAAGAATTAAAAAATTTAATAACTTAAAATTTTGAACTCAAGTGATATCTAATATATATACATATATAGACTTTTTAACATACTTTCGTAACTCTAAATATGACTTATCTCTTCAACAAGATTAACAATGGATGGTTCACATCCAAAATTCATACAGCTTACCAAATCGTCATCCAATTGTTAGTTTAGGGGCAAACTCTACGTCACGTAGAAAATTCTGGCAATTGAAGATGTTCTATTTATCATTGTTTTAACTTTTTAAAACATTAAGGATCGGTAGTATATGTCTTGCCAAGAGTGATATATAATCTTGAGATCAAGTCCTGTACGTACAAAATGTACATTAATAAGGCCCACCCTCCAAGACTGGGGATTTACGATTTGGCTTGAGACATGGACATCGATCTTAGCACCACTACCTTGTCATTATTCAAGAAAATAGACCCTTAAATTAACACTAAAATGTTCTTTGCCACAAAACAAATCATGCAAATTCCAAATGAGGGTTCCCTCCCCTATAAATATTGAAACCCATTTTCCTTGAATTCACACACGAGGCAATTAATTGGTTAAATACTTATATTTCTTTTAGCTAAATTTTTTGGCATAGTTGCAAAAAAATTTTCCTATAGCTTTTAATGTTCATTTTCTCAAATATGAGAATGCGTGGGTTCACTATGTTTGGTTATTGGGTTGTGCACTGGTTGTCGCCCCATTTTCTTGGGCTGCCACGGATGGTTACCAAAAGCATGTTCATGAACAATGCAGCTTTACTAGATACCCCGGCCTTTGTGTTGACACAATGACAGGGCAGGAAATCAACAGGTTGATATTGTGTCTGTTCTCATTGACAAAACTATCTTAGAGATCAGGCTTCCAACTTTTTACCAAATTCACCTCCAACCTTGAAACCGAAGAAGCTCAACACATCAATTCCATCACAGGTACTTTGCCTGAAACTTTTGGTTGGTTCCATATATATATATATATATATATATATATATATGTTGTTTCTACTTGTATATGATAAGCTATCCAAAAATTACTGTAATCGCTAGCAACAATACGACTTTTCTGTTATACTTTTATTTCTTCGGTAGGCATGTCATTTTTTTTTCTTTTTTGATATAAGCACAATGTTTCCCCAACATGCAGGATATTGTCAAGAGCTTTTGAGCATGTCTCTCAAGCGACTAGACCAGTCGCTATTAGCTCTCCAGAATTCTCAGAACAAAAACAAACATGATATCCAGACATGGCTCAGTGCTGCTTTGACGTACCAACAAGCTTGTAAAGACTCTGCCGACAGTCACAGCTTCTCCAATAGCGACCTCATGGGACAGATATCCAGAAAAATGGATTATCTGTCTCAATTGGGAAGTAACACTTTAGCCATTTTCAACAAGATGACAGATAAGTTAAGTGACAGCACAGCTCGCCAGTTAGCTGAGGACCATCTTTTCCCCAGCTGGGTATTGGAGAAAGATAGAAAACTACTTCAGGCCCCGACGACAAAAGCCAATGCTGTAGTAGCCAAAGATGGATCAGGGAACTATAAAGCAATTTCGGAAGCTATCAATGCTGCTTCCGGGGGACGGTTTGTGATCTATGTGAAGTCAGGAGTTTATAACGAAAAAATTCGGACTAGCAAAGATGGTATTACATTGATCGGAGAAGGCAAATACAGCACTATCATTGTTGGCGATGATAGTGTAAATGAAGGCTCTTCCATGCCCGGCTCTGCCACATTTAGTCAGTGTTCCATCTCTTATCCCCTGTCCTTTGCTACCTCCTGGATTTTCCTTGTCCTATATTTTAAGTAACAATTTTATCTAATAGCCAGTAGCCTCGGCCATACACATAAAAACAGTAAATAACAATAAACATTGCTACTTGCATTCATCTAAATTCTTATATATTCATTTCATACTCATTTTTTATTTTAAGAATTTAAATAAAAATGCTAATTTTTATGGATTAAAATAAAATTTTAAAAACTTATATATAACACCTGCATTATTTTTTTTTTGGTGAGAATAATTATTTATTGCACTTTAACAAAGAAAAAGATTAAAAAAATTTATGAATACTATTTAATTGGTAGAAGCCTTTTTTTGGTTAGTAAGTATATGGATAACTGAATATAGAAAAACTATTGAAATCAAAGTTGGTTTAATATAAGAACTAATCAAAGTACATTTTTATCATTCAACAATATCTTACTATATCAATTGAAGAATCACTAATGGCAAACAAAAATAGTGTCACAAATTGAGTTGTATTCACTGTTCAGCTCCATCAACGATACGATCCATATTATTATTCTTTTGAGAATTACGTACAAGTACAAGTCCTTTCCAAGTACTTGAAGAGTGAATCCACTGGCCTTGGCTCTTTTCATTCTCTACAGTTTACCGCTACTTGCCAACTTTGCAAAAACGAAGTGGCCTTTTAATGACCACCACAAATTATGTTTGAGATATTATCAGTCTATTAAATATAAAATTAATTTTATAGAGAAATAAAATGTTAACACATGAATTTAGGGTTGAGGGTAAATTCTTAAAAACATCTTAAGAACTAAAACTGCTAACAACCAATGATAATAATTTTCCTTTTTTTTTCTGCAATTTTCAGCTGTCACAGGTGATGGATTTATTGCTCGGGATATAGGATTTCAAAATACAGCAGGTCCTCAAGGAGAACAGGCCTTGGCTCTTTATGTTGCATCCGATCATTCAGTTTTCTATAGGTGCAGCGTGGCGGGCTACCAGGACACTTTATACGCACTTTCCCAGCGTCAATTCTACAGGGAATGTGACATTTACAGAACAATTGATTTCATATTTGGAAATGCTGCTGCAGTTTTTCAAAGCTGCACTTTGGCACTTCGCCGTCCTCACGGAGGCTACAATGTGGTCCTGGCAAACGGAAGGTCTGATCCAGGACAAAACACTGGCTTCTTTATTCAAAATTGTAGGATTGTACCAAGCTCAGATTTTTCTCCTGTCAGACATAGCTTTATCTCATATCTAGGGAGGCCCTGGAAACAATATTCAAGAGCAGTTGTGATGGAATCAACAATTGCCGATGCCATTGCTTCAAGAGGTTGGATTGAGTGGCCTGGAGCTGGAGGTTACTCGAAATCACTGTATTTTGCAGAATATGCAAATGTGGGACCTGGAGCTGGAACTTCCAGGAGGGTAACCTGGCCTGGATTCCATGTTATTGGACGTGATGAGGCTGTCAAATTCACAGTTAATAAGTTCATTGCTGGAATATCATGGCTGCCTTCAACAGGAGTAACTTTCGTCTCTGGCCTCCAGTGATTGAACTAGAAGCATGTAAGTACGTACTGTGCTAGTGTTACACTGTTACTTAGACAAGAAGATAAAGACCGAAGCGGAGGGACCAAAAAGCAGAGATCCTCCTGTTGCACAGGCCTGGTCCGCATGGATTGATATTCCGTATAAAGATTTACACGATTGAATAAGAAAGAAAATTATATGTAGGATAAGGGATTTGGATTATTTTACCTCATATTTTACTCTGTGTAATGCATGAGGTTTTGGTCTAATCTCGTGTACTTGGTCATGAATTGCTCAAATGAGAAAAAGAATGTGCACTAATTTTATAAATGTGCTTCCCTAGTTAATCTCCTTTATGGTTCAAAGATCGGAAAGACTCTCAAATTAACCCAAAACAGGAAATAATGCATCTAAAGATTAATCTTTAATTCAAAATAGGTTCTAGAATAGGTATGATAATTTATATATTTATATTATATTTTATACGACAATTACATATCATAATTTATATTATAATATAAAAATACAATATATTTTTTGTTTTATTAAATTCATATATAATTTTATTAAAATTTTAAATCACATTATTTTTATGTCTTGTTTATCATCATATTTTATTTTAAATTATCAAATATACTCGAGGCCATTTTAGTTTCCCAAGTCTCTCTTATTATTGTGCAAGAGTTCCATCTCGGTTTGCTCCAAAGTAGCATCAACATCATTTATACAAGTAAACGAACTAACTGGATGATATTTCTTTTGCTTATAACAGGTTTGCGCTTTTTGCTTTTCTGCATTATAATTTTCTCATTGTGGGCCATGCACTTGATTGCAGTTTGTAAACAAATTCCATGCCTCTTATAATTTTCAGGACTCCTTCGATCTGTAATGGTTATAGATTATAGATGCGTCCAATCCCAGAGCTAGTTGACTTTGCTTTCATTTTCACTCTTCTTTTCAGAAACGACATGAGTTGGTTGGGGAGAAAAGAGTACTTTGACGGAATGCAAGAGCCCTTAGCATTCCCGTGCAGTATCGGCAACAGACAAAGCCTGGATACCGGAAGAACTCGTTATCTGTTTCACATGGACAGTGTGGTATAGGCTTAACTGGTGTTTACATTACTCATCGTGGTGGGAATTATCTAATTTTCTTATGAATACATTGGCACGTTATCTAGAAAGTATAACTTTAAATTTCTGCTAAAGCTATCGTTTCAGCAGATGATGTCGATGATATAGCCAAAAAGGGTGAAAACAAGATGGACAAAGAGCAAAGTCTATAAGACTTGGAATTGATGAATTCGGATTAGTCTGAGAGTACTGGTTAGTTAGGATGAATATTCTACATGAACGCCGCATGTAGTACCCTACTAAAGTGTTAAAATAAATCTGAGTATCAACACAACAGTGGTCCATAAATACATATTACAAAAAACAAAGCTATAAAAGCAAGCCCTCCTCCGCCACACACGTCGAAAGCGATCCCCCTGCCAAAAAGCTAACTTTGTAAACATCAATGAAAAGGCCAGAAAAAGTGCTTCAACTACAGCGACAACCATAGCCATGTGAAAGTTTTAAATAAACAAATTCAAATTAATGCGAGTAATGAGAAATTAGACCACTTTGGAGGCAAATTATTGGTTCTAAAGTCACCATCTAAAACGCAGTGTGACAAGTTAATATATGCGATGCCTACTGCAGAATTATAAAAAATGAGCATAAACAGAAGAAGATGATTTTATTCCAGCCTCAATTCCACCCAATCATATATTTCTTTATCCTCTTTCTATTCATCTCCATTAGGTAATAAAAAGTTTCAAATTAGAAAGATCAACTCCTTTCTAGTATACAGGTTTTTTTTGTAGGAAGGTTACAACTTATAAAGCTATAGCTCAATATTCATATATGCATTTTCTCCAAGAAAAACAAAGTTCCCAAACCCAAATAGAATGACATGGTTATGGGAATCAATTAAATATGTAAAATATGTATAAAGTTAAAGTTCAAAAATAAAAAAAAAACACACATACATACACATATTTAAATTTATAATATAAACACTTTGAAAGTCATGTCGTGTTTGTCTCCCTCAAATATGAAATTTGATGATACATTTTGGCTAATTATATTTTAACATATACCATTGCAATCACCTTTTTAAAATCTTTGTGCACCTTTTGGATCACTTTTCTTTTCTTTTCTTTCTTTTTCGGTCCACTATAGAAACATAATTTTCTATCAAATGTACAATTCTCTATCCTTATTTTTTCCCTAAAGGCAGCTAACTTGGAATCTAGCAATAATGATTATGATAATCACTTCATGCCACAATATGTGGTGAGATATGGATTGCTAGAATTGACTGAGATTAGTCTATTTCTGCCATTTTAGTGGCTGTTTCCATGCAACTTGAAAACTATTGATAGGAATAGTATCCACTCAAGGGTAGAGATAATTTAATTATGTCATTTAGAATGAGATGTAGAATTAATAGATTTGATCTTTGTTTCTACTGAAACTAAGAAATGACAGAATAAGGTCAATATCCTCACAATGTGAAAATCGCCATTATTAAACAGAATATGGGTGTAAAAGAGGGTGTCGGAGGAAACAGGAAACTCAAACCGAACAACTTGTCAGATTCGGACTAGCTTAGACCGCACTCCTAAACATGTTCAATATAGATCCTGTCCTTGGGCTTGTGTGAATGTGATCAACTAGACATAATGGTACCATTGGATGGCTGGCTGAACACGTTTGAAAAGCTGGTGTATGTAATTTGGCCGGGTGACTTCACCTCCCTAGTTGGCAACGACATCAGCAACATCATAAAGGTGTGAAACCTTACTGCAACATCATAGGATCATAGCATTTTCCACCAAAAAGGCAGCTATGGATGTGTAACTGGGGGGGGGGGGGGGGGGGGGGTGTGGGGCACCTGATTTTCTTATTACTTTTGAAGGAGATGATGATAATTCATGATCAAGTCAGACAAATCAGATAGTAACGATTCACAAATTAGGCGGATGAAACGAATATATACACTTATAAATGGAAAATATGAGCCAAAAATCGTTGGCAAGATAATAAGAATAGAATTTGAAGCTTGAAGCTTTTAGGTCAAGGAAAAAAACAGATATGGACTTGACAAACGAATATTCTGAAGAATAAACCATTTTACATAACTTTAATACTTATCTATCAATATAACCCTTATGAACAGACTAACCAGCGGTATGTAAAGCCAAAAATTGCTGAAAAATTTGAGTTGAACAAAAAAAATTTGAATGACCTTCGCTAGCTCCCTACAGGAGATTGTCGAGCTGTGCTTCCAGTTCTTGTATATTCACCATGTCGATGATGTTTTTTTCCTCTGGAGAATACTCTGCTTTTACAAGGGATTGAACTTGGAAATGGGCTTCCACAATCTTTGTCCTGCATAAACATAAGAATTACCTTAAATTTTGTTGCTGCTAATTGCTAAAGAATCTGAATTATTCGAAATTTGCATCAAGATTGTTTACTGTGTGCTCAGATTAGAAAACAAGGAAATCTTTGATTAGGTCATTCATAATCCTAGTTACACGACCATAAAGTTACAGCTTTGAATTTGAGACGGTATCTTACTTAATTGGTTTGAAAAGAATTGTTCTTGTCGACAGATTCTGTAAATAAAGTTTCATCTTTGCTATCACCACAGGAAGTTCTTGCTGAATAGCTGAATTAACCTGTTAAAGAAATGTACATAATCAATTTGGTGAATCTGAACTTCGAAATTATTAACAGATTGTCACTAAGATTTGCAATTTTAATTCAAATAAGATAGTTATGGAAATTAAACATTTTGATGCACACTAAAGATAAGACATTTTCATATGCATGCAACAGTTGTAAGCATATATCTCAAGATCAGCCTTCTAATATGATTCCTAATTACAAGTCAACAAGAAGGGTAACAAATAAGTAGTTCCAAAAAAAAAAAAAGAATTATTGGCATCAATAAAGAAATTCCAAGAGGGTAGACTCATTCATGTTATATATCAGATGAAGGGGTCATATGTGACTGTGAAGGTTGAAAAGCTACAGCGGAAGGATTGCAAGCTAGAATTGCTTCTTAAAACCATAGTACGGACTACAAAGGGCATTTTGAAGGATACATTGGCATGGTATTAATGTAATCTTAGGGCAGATGTATTATACTTAAATTCCTGTTTATACTTATATAATGTCAATCATGCTCTCATTCTGTCTCCTCTCAAGATTTTTGGACCAGTGCTACACAGTTGGAGTTGCTCCATGCTTTGTTACAATTGGTATTCACTTTGTTAGGAACTATTTCTATCATGGCTTTCTTTTATATGCACATAGAGATACATCAATATTCATGCAGATACACCAATAGAATACATATATATATATATATATATATGTAATGTTTGTTTGTATGCATGCATCCATGCATGTTTCTAACAAAAAACAAAGGCATTTCATTATGCAGCAGGGAAACCCAGGAAATCTTCAAAAACCAATGCAAACTGTATCCACCATGTAGGCTGGCAAAACATGAATTAAAAATGTGACACACCTTCTGAACAAGTTCAGCCACCTTTTTTGGTGTAGCAAAGGCTTGTTCCTTGAGTGGCTTGGCCATTCCTGAGTCTCTTTTTTGATTCTGACTACCAGAAGATAATGCCAGTTTTACAGCTGTTACCTGTAGGAACAAATATAAACCCTTAGACAATTAGTCATACGTCAAAGCTAAAAAGATTCCATTACCATCAAAGTTATGCTCTGGTTCAGAGAAGACAAGGTATTCAGTTAAATACCACATGGCAAGTTGAAGAAAATACTCATGTCCAAGCTGAAACTTCTGAAACTTCAACTGGTGTTAATTACTTTTTAAACTGCTCCTATCAAAGGTATCTGGTCTTTTTTCACTAGCAAGCAATACCTACTCTTTTCAGATTTTAATATCCTGAGTTGTGAAAAGACCAATTAAGGAGAGAAAGGATGAACCTT